CGCTGCCGCGCTGCCCTGCCCGCCGGGCCCCAGCAGGTTGCGTGGGGAGCAGGGGGCAGCGGGAGGGAGTTAGTCCTCGCGTTCGCGTCTGTGTTCTTGAAAGAGGTGCGGGTCTGAGGAGGGACCTGAGGTGCTGTTCGGGCCGGACTAGAGATCACAGCCTGTAATCCGCGCTGGTGAGACCCACCTGGAGTGCTGCGTCCTCCTCTGGGGTCCTCAGCAAGGGAAGGGCATTGACCTATTGGAGTGGGTCCAGAAGACGGACACCAAGATGATAAGGGGGCTGGACCTTATCCTGCAAGGAAAGGCTGAGGGTATTGGATTTGTTCAGCCTGGAAAAGCTTAGAAGTGACCTAATTACACTATCCAGTGCCTGAAGGGAGACTACAAGAAAGATGGAGAGAGACTAATTACAAGGCCGTAGTGATGGGACAAGGGTGAATGGATTCAAATTGAAAGAGAATAGGTTTAGATTAGATATTAAGAAAACAATTCTTACTGAGGAGAGGTGAGAGTAGTGAGGCACTGGTCCAGGTTGCCCAGAGAAGTTATGGATGCTCCATCCCTGGAGGTGTTCAGGGCCAGGTTGGATGGAGCTCTGAACAACCTCTTCTAGTTGAAGGTATCCCTGCAAGGGGGTTGGAACTAGATGATCTTTAAATTTCCTTTGAACTCAAACCATTCCACGATTCTATGATCCAATGGAAACCTGGTGAGCATGGGCACCGTGAATGTCTCAGTGGTGTTGCAAACATTTAGTGTTTAATTTGAGATTAACTTGGGATATTTACATGGACAGTTATTAAAATAGATGGACAGTTATTAAAACAGACAGTGTGTTAGTTGGAGTTGGTGGCATGCTTTGTACTATAACCTATCTTTAATCCTTAATTTAAGATGCTGGGATTGGGTTCAGGGAAGGAGAAACCGTGTGTGTGTGTGTGTCTACATATATATGTGTAGATACAAAGTGTGGTACTGATGTTGCTTGGCCATGTCCTGCTTTCATGTTCCAGGTTACATCTTTCCCAGGAGTGGCTGTTTGCTGCTTCAGCACATCCTCCACTAATGAACACCCAGAACATGGAAGATTAGTTTATAAAGGACATTTGGCAAAGACAGTTTTAGGTATGTGACTTGAGATGATTTATATTGCCTTTGTTTGTTTGTTTGTTTAACAGTGTGTAGTAACTTTAAAACAGAACATTTTAAAAGTTGACAACGTCCTTTCCAGCTTTACCAAAACTTGGATCATCTGTCCAATAGTAAAAGCAAAGTGGTAATGGTGCTTTGTTTCTGCTTCTGGGGCACTGCCCAGAGTAATTCAAAACTACCTTCCCCGCAACCTGCCAAGCGGACCGGGTCCTTACACAGCTTTGCCCTCCTTATCCACCCCTCTCTGCTTCCTTGACTCCTCCCTTTCTCTGCCCTTTTCTCCTCCCCAATTAGGAGCCAGCTCCAGTGGTTTATACTCCTGGCTCCCAGGCTTGCCCTGCCTGTGAACAGACTTGGGTTACAGGTGCTGTCAGCTAGCTCACCTTGGCCTTGCCTTGCTTTACTGATGCAGTTTCCTGGGTCCTGCTGTTCCTGTCAGGTTCCTCTCCCCAGAATTACCCCAACGCTTCCTGCGAATGTCTGGGAAGTGTGGCCACTTCTCACATTGGTCCCCATTCTCAGTGTTTCTGCTTCTCCACTCAGGTGTGCAGGGAGTTCTGTGCCTGTCTGTAGCCCCTCAGCCTCCTTGGGTTTCTCTTGCAACCTTTGGGGTGCATTACCCAGCCCAGTAACCAACAAAGAGGAGCTGTAACTGCTGTTTACATTCTGAGTTCTTTGAAATGCATTGTCTGTAACAAGACTTTGTTGGTTTTGAACAGTTAATAGCAACCTTCCAGTACCTGAAAGGGGCCTACAGAGAAGCCAGAGAGGGACTCTTTGTTAGGAACTGCAGTGACAGGACAAGAGGCAATGGATACAAATTGAAGGAGGGAAAATTTAGGTTAGATATCGGGAAAAGTTTTTTACTGTGAGGGTGGTGAGACACTGGAAAAGGTTGCCCAGGGAGGTTGTAGAAACCCCCAGCCCTGGCAGTGTTCAAAGACCTGGTGAAAAGCAAAGCCACTGGATGATTGAAATGTGTCTTAACATATTTGTCACAGCATCTTAGACTCCTGGTTCTCACCATGGCTTAAGGGCTGTGAGTGGTCCACAGAACTGGTTACTGTCTTTCAAGCCACATTCAGGATAGATGTGGGAGACTTAATGTGGTATAACTCAGGTTTTTTAAGCTCTATGTGGTGGGACACCATGCAGGCTTCTTTGTAGTGCACACTGAACATCAAGAATGGTTGTTGATAAGGAAGGAAATTCCCAGTGTGGATACCTGAGATGATTACCATTATGTGTGTCCATGAGTGGAGTCCAGTTCCTTTAGAAATCAGACTCCTACCTGTCAGTTAAAAACTTTGTGTGTAGCAGCTGACCTCATCACAGAAACAGAGCCAGCTCCCAGCTTTGATAAACCCAACATGAGCATACAAACAAATCACAACAGCGACAGTGAGGCAGGGTTGAGCTTTCAGTGGTTTCTCTGTGAGTTTAAAAAAAAAGGAACAGGGTTTTCAGTAACTTCACCTATTCAAGCAATAGCATTGATACATGGTGGCAGGACATGCCTGGAGAAGAGAAGGTTGCATGGAGACTTAATAACAGCCTTCCAGTACCTGAAAGGGCCTGCAGGGAAGCTGGAGAGGGACTCTTTGTTAGAAGCTACAGTGGCAGGACACAGGGCAATGGGTACAAATTGAAAGAGGGGAAGTTTAGGTCAGGTATTAGGAAAGAAGTTTTTACTGTGAGCGTGGTAAGACACTGGAACAGGTTGCCCAGGGAAGTAATAGAGTCTCCCAACCCTGACAGTGTTCAGAGCCAGGTTGGATGAAGCCTTGAGCATCCTGGTCTAGTGGGGAGGTGTCCCTGCCCATGGCAGGGGGCGTTGGGACTAGATGATCTCTAAGGTCCATTCCAACCCTTAAAATACTATGATTCTGTGAACATTTTATTGTAGAGAACATTTAATTTTAGAGAAAGTCTTGCTCATAAGTGTTAACCTTCATTTTCTTTTTGTTCTATGTAGGTGTGAAGTTTTTCTCTTACTCCACCAGCATATTCAACCTGTTCATGTTGCCCCAAATCATGCTCAAAAGTGGCATTGGAGTGGATAGTTTGCTTCTGCAAGCTGCTTTCTATGGGATGATTGGGTTCTTCACGTTTGTCACTCCAGTGACGTTGCATGTCCTTACAAAGGGCTACGTGATCCGACTCTATTACAAAGATGACATGGACACCTATACAGCCATTACCTACAATGCCATCCTGGCAGAGAAAGTAACTGTTTTCCATCAGAAGGATGTAAAGATTCCAGACATCACCAAGATGTTTACAACATTTTATGCCAAAACGAAATCAATGCTTGTTAATCCAACGCATTTCCCAAATCCCCAGGATTATAACCATCTCATGGGCTATGACAAACACTCATATTTTAAATTAGAGGAGGTAAAGGAAACTGATGAAAGGAAGTAATTTGAAGATAAGGAATGTCACTATCATTGTTCACAATGCAATACTATGTATGCGAAAGAATGTAAAGTTCTATTACACTTTCTTTAGTATCAGGTACAGGAGATTCCCAAATGCATTTTGGAATGTATTAAAAAAGACACCTTTTTTTAAAATTTATAAACATTGTGAGGGTTTCTTCAGTTAATGTCACAAAATACAGTAAAAAAAATATTTAGGTCTGTCTCATGCTTGTTTATTCTTGGCTTGATTTTTATTGTTTATCCATAGAACTGTAAAATGCATGGGCTGTGCAGCAGTCTCACATCTCAGTGTAGAAAGAAACCATTCATCAAAGAAAAACCATCAGTACTCATTACCTATCAAGTATGTAGTTAAGCTTTTAAGCCTTAAATATTAATTGTACTTAATCCAAAAAGGTCAGCCTTTTTGTCAGTCCTGTTGGTGGCATAGAGAGTGAAGATGGCTTTCCCTTCCCTTTGTGAGACCAGTGGTAGCCAGGAGGAGTCTCTAGAAAGCAGACAGGTATTCTGTCTGCTACAGTGCCTCCCAAAGGAGAGGAGAAAATAGGGAGAATGGCTGCATCACAGTAATCTCTAGCTATCACAGCTACTAAATGGTTTTTTATGTTAGAGTCCCACTTGGGGTAACCCTGTCCCCAGAGGTGGAATGCAAGAAGCCTTTTTGTTGGGCCAGGGAAAGCACCTCAGCTTAAGATGTGCTCTGTGAATATCCCATTGAGAACAGGCACTGTATTTGAACAGACCTGAAGAAAATACCAGCAGCTAGTGGTTAAAATGGATTCTGGCAGCATTTATGTAGGTGGGGAAGCAAAATGGAGTCTCCTGTAGAGTACTGTTTAGATCTTGGGCCTTGAAAAACATACCTCTTGATCTTCCCTGCAGAGAAAGCCACCTCTAGCTCAGCTGAAAAGAGGATTAGATCTCTTTGTGTGAGCAGACTGGTTCTGCACTCTGAGCATGTACAAATTTAATTTTTTTTACCCCTAGGCACATAAACTGACAGATAATTGTTTTCAAATAATCAAGGGCCTAAATACTATTAGAGTTAAAAATTGTTGAACAAACAAAAGCAAAATTCAAATTAATCCTTTTGTGTTAGCAGTGCCCTTTGCAATAAGTAAATCTGATGCTTGCTGCTAATTAAGTCATCCTGATACTGCAGATAAAGAGAAAACTTATAGCTACCCTTAAAGATGTTTCCTAAGTTCTAGCTGAAGAAAATGTATTTTGCAGTCTAAATGTCTTCTGATACTATTGTTTCAATATCTTGTCCTGGGATGGCACTACAGATGGCATTAAACCAGTGGTTTCAAATGTTGTTTTTCTGACTGTTGGAACTGCCCTCAATGTACTTGCTGAGTAATTAAAAAGCAAATCATCTCATCTCAATACTTTTGGAACAGTTCTTTTTTGTTGGCACAGCTATAATTTTAAAAGCTCCATTAAGGCAGTGTCACTTCATGGGCAGCAATAATATGAAACCAAAATTTTCATAAGTTATGTTGAAGGTGTGAGGCTAGTAACAACCAGTACCTGGTTGTACTACTTGCCCTTATTGAAATGATGTTTTACACCTAATTAAAAGTAATCTTTCCACATCTCATGCATTAACTCACTTCTTTTTGTGCTCATGGGTAAAGTTAACTTCATCTTTCAATGGCAAATACAGGGAGAAAAGGAAATAGACTTTTCAGGAGAAGGTAAAGGGAAAACCCCAAAATTATACCTATGTACCCCTTGAGCAATATCAAAATCCTGCTTTTTTTTTTCTGACTGCAGAAAGTTTTTATTGCTAAGTTTAAGATTTGATCAGTTCAGATTGAAGCAGCAGTAGTAAGATATCTCTATCCTGGTGGCTGAGTTTCTCAAAAAAAAAAGTATGGAAGACAAGTATTATTTCTTCTGTTTGTATTTTGGCAGTGAAATACAAGTTAAGCTGGTAAGTGACTTTCCTACACATAGATGATTTAAAAAAATACATTATAAGAGTCCAGAAATCTGCCAGAAGATAGATGGTAATTGTGGCTATGATGTAATTAAGAGAAATATTTTTTACTTCCAATGTGCAATTTGAAAACGATAGAATAGTACTTTTATATTAAGAAAAGAGAAGACCAAACATACTGAAGAAACACGATATTCTACCTGCTTCCTCCTTGTTTGCTGCTGCACTCACAGCATGTACTTAGAATCATAGAATCATTTAGGTTGGCAAAGACCTTTAAGGTCTTCATCTCCTACCATTAACCTAGCACGGCTGAATCCACAACCAAACCATGTCCCTAAGTGCCACATCCACACATCTTTTAAATACCTCCAGAGATCACCATCTCCACCACTTCCCTGGGTAGCCAGTCCCAATGCTTGGCAACCCTTTCGGTGAAGAAATTTTTCCTAATACCCAATCTAAACCTCCCCTGTTGGAACTTGAGGCCATTTCTTCCTGTCCTATCACTGGTGACTTGGCACAAGAGACCAACCCCACCTGGCTACTCCCTCCTTTCAGGTAGTTGTAGACAGCAATAAGGTCTCCCCTGAGCCTCCTTTTCTCCAGGCTAAACAACCCCAGCTCCCTCAGCCACTCCTCTCAAGGCTTGTGCTCCAGCCCTTTCCCCAGCTTTGTTACCTCTCTCTGGACACACTCAACACCTCAATGGCCTTTGTGTAGTGAGGAGCCCAAAACTGATCATAGGATTTGAGTATTCTTGAAATATGTGACTGGTTTAGATCCCTGGAATTTGTTGAGAGCTGCTCTTTACACTAGACTCAAAACAAAGGAATAGAACTAACCCAAGAAGACTCCTAGAGGCATTTCTGCTTTGCTTTGAGTTCTGAACATAGAGATTTTTCACTGTACACTGAGTGCATTTCCAAGTGGGGAAACTGAAATGTCCTTCTATGCTAGGAAATGCGCATAAAGCATAACAGGCCCTCTTGCTACCAACAAATCCCGCAAGAGAATCAACTGTAGTGTGACTGTTTTGATAAACCAATTACTGTCAAGTAATTCCCAAAGCCTGTTTATATTAACTCCACATCTTCTTAACAATCCTATTTATTTTGTGAACTACTATTTTCTTCTAGTTTATTTTTTCTTCAGTTTCATACACTTGGTGAAGACTAGTTCTAATTGCAGAAGTATCACTACCTGCAAATATTTTCCTCCCTGGAAGTTGCTGATATTTTTTTGGGTGTCGATAACTCGTGTACGATATGGAAGAAACAATTTGTAAGATCTAGAGAATGTGCTCATACACATTCTGAAGGAAATACTGACGTAAAAGTCCAGTTTTCTGAAATACATGATTTACAAGCTGGCCTATGTGCAAAAGGCAGTACCTACAAGGAAGGCTGCTGGCTCCTGCAGCCTTTGCAGGACCAACCGATCACTTACCCATAGCTGCTGAGTCTCACATCTTACCCCAGTACCTGTTTCACTCAATTTGGTGTGAAGAGCATGAATATATGAAATTACTCAAGCCTCTTTCCTGGACATGTTTCATATCCCCATCCAGCCTTAAAAGCTTCCACAAAAGGTCATTCATGACAAATTTATTTTAAGGGTTTTTTTTTCCCTAGGAAAACAATCTGGATATGGGCAAATTTTTCTTTTCAGGCTTCGACTACATGCTATTTTCTTGCTAGTGACCCTCTCCTTTTTTCTCAAGTTTTTGGCTTTGTCCACATTATTATTCATTAGTCCCTATCTGTTCTTAATTATAAAGTACAAAGCTTCTTGTCATTCTTTAAAGTTGCTTTCTAAATTAAATTATCCCACAACCCTCATCCTTTTCTTGCAAATGTAAAAAATGCTGATGAGAAAATTATCCCCTTTTGATACTTCAAAGAGAAATTTTTAAGGCTCTGAGGTACTTCACACTCTTAACCACACTCTGTAGAATTAAAAGGTAACTAATTTGTCTGGAGCTTGCTTTGTTACAAACCAAAGTCATCACATTGGCAAAGATGAAGAAAATCTTGCATAGTACCAGGAGAGCTTCATTTAGGTGATGGAAACTTTGTGAAAATCTCTTTGTTCTGTAAAAATTAGGAGCAGACATGTAAATTATTATGACTGCTTGGTATAACTTAATAGGTGGAAACTTGGTAAGCTGCTGTAATTTGGTTGCTGTGGAGTTCTGTGGTCATACCACAAATCTCTTCATGCCTCATACCGTGGATTTCTTCTTGCCTCCATGTACAGCATAGCCTGCTGCAGCCTGCCTGAGAAATGGGACAAGTGTGCTAGCTAGGAGTTGGATCCACTGTAATAAGATTATCCCACAGCTCTACAGACCTCAGCGAGCAGCTATTTTAAGCAGGGAATAACAGAGAACAAGAGCAAACAGCCACAAAACATGTCCAGCTGTCTCCATTTCTGGAATTCCAGTGTGGACTGTGTTGCTGTGGTGTGCTTTCTGTCAGCCTCAGGTAGGACACATCCCTTTCTTCTCCCTTCACCCTCTGCTTTCTTTTCTTTTTGACAACTTTAATAGTTTAATGAATACTTTAGAGTGTAACTATAAGCTTTAATCCTAAACTTGGCTTGGAAAGAATAAACCATAAGCCTACTGGCAAGAGGCAGAGTTATTTCCAACATAATTGTTTCCACAGGATGCCACTTGGTATGTATTTGCTTCACTTTAATAGTCTCCAGTGGTTTAATGTGATATATTCAAATCAAACCACTAAGCCAAAGTGCATACAGCATTTGAAAATATATATTCAGAATAATGCACAGCACTTTTTATATCTTTCAGCAACTCTTTGTTTTCTTTCTCAAATGCTACCAGCTCACCACTGGATATGGTCTAGTGCACTCCTCCTCCATCGGACTTCCCTGGCACTCTCAAGCACTTCACCTGCTGCGTGTAAAGGAGCTGAGTTCTCTACCTCTTTCTGGAACCCCTGGGCATGACTTTCTACTTCCACTATAAACATTGTCAAAGATAGCGAGAGGATTTGGGAAGAGAGTCTACA